TAGGCGCAGACGTGAGAATACCTACATCTTTAGTTGCTCTAAATCTAGCGTTACGCACCGCTCGTATGTTGCCGTTGTCATTTGTAGAGCGCTCCTCCCAACGGTTTATCGCGCGCTTAGTAACCAAATAACAGTAAGCTGTATCGCCACGGGTCTCTTCTCGCCGCGCAAATTGGCCGATATTTTTAAATTAAAATTTTAATTAAAAATCGCAAAATGGTAGAGGACTTTTCTACTTGGTTTAACCCGCTCTACTTACACCCGAGACGTGATTCAGCAATTGCCGGACACCTTGTATATTAAGAAACACGCCACATAGCGGCAAACAACATCAAATTGCACTGCGCAGATTTTGCTCGATTTCTGCCGCCAATCTGACATCAAACTGCGTTGCACAGATCCTGCTCTATTTCTGTCGTCAATCTGACATCAAACTTGTGTTGCGCAGGTCCTACTCGGTTTCTGCCATCAATCTGCTGTAATAATTCCGAGTAATCCTGCTCGGTTTCTGCTGTCAAATTATGTCAGTAGGTGTTTTAATATTTCTGCTGACATTCTGCTATCATCATCTAATGTAACAGGTTTTGTATACAATCTGCAGTTCTTTTGTTGACAAAAATTTGTAGTAGACGTTTGGCAATATCTGTTCGAACAGACTTTGCTGACTGGGTATTCAAGTACACATGATTTTAAGTACATACATATGTATTTGTTAGTGATTATGTTATAAAATTAAACAGATATTTAACAAACCACACACATTTGTTATATTTTCAATGTAATTGCAAATTGCATGACATTGCTTTTTTAATTATCTGGTTCGACACTAAGATTAACGAAATCTTTTATGCATTCTTGTGCTTTGTTCGGAAAATTTCTACAACAAAAATAATATTTTTTTTATATATAGAGAATGTGAACATAAAAATTATAATTTTACATTATGTATTAGTTGCAACTGTTTATGTTTTATTATATTTTGCAATATTTTATTTGCAAATATTATGATTATTATTAATATATATTAATTGAATCGCTATTTATGCTATTTACCTAAGGAACGATAATAATGGTATCACACGAAAAAGTATACCCCTTTCTCTGTAATTTTTTCTTTGCGCATTAATTATTAGTGAAGCAGCTTCTTTTGGATATAGTGGACTTACCAAACTGGGAAATCTATATTGACAAAAATATAATTAAATTTAAAAAAATTATAATTTATAATATTGTTCTGGCGTAAAATATTTATTATAACGACATATTCTTAAATACTTACTTTATTATTGGCTTTTTAAACATTCTGTTAAACACTACAGTTGGGAAAGCGGTAGTGAATTTAATCAAAGATTTTCCCTTACTAGATAAACGCAATTCTTCATTAACAGCCTCCATAAGTGCTGAAATATACATATCACAAGTTAGGATATTATCAACATGAGCAGCATTAGCAACATTCTATAGCTTGTACTAAATACTTAAAGATATCCCAACAAACACACGATGCATAACAGCAACAGTGTTGAGTGGGAAATTATAACATTACTGTTATGTTACTGTTGATTAGTGTTTGCTGGGATAATTATACATTATAAATTATTCTAAATATATATTAAATTACTATACGAAAGATTGTAATCTCTTAATATGAGTTGAATTACCTCTGACTGCGAATTTTGTAGGAGAGTAAACTGTTGAATATATTGACGTTGCAATTCCTAATCCTGATGACAACGCAACGACATGACCATGGTTGTTTTCAATCATGCTTGGTAAGAATGCACGCAACATCTGAAAATAATTTCCCCTTGAATAATAGCAATACCTTATTAAGCTTCTGTAGAGCTTTCAACTTGTACTTCAATTACGAGTTAATTTAGCTATTTATAATTATTTCCAAACATATAATAGTATAAAGCACATTAACAATTATTTCATACATTTTACAGCTTCTAAATAGATGTGCTGCGAGATATGTTACTTACCCAATAATGCGCAATAACATTCACATTTATGGTTCGCGTAATTTCATCGTCGCTATAATTTAGAAGTGTTTTAACAATTCCTAGGCCAGCATTATTAATTAAAATAGTAACGTCGCCCACTTCTGTTCTTACTTTTTCGGCCATCTTGAAGACTTCTTCTCTGTTTGTCACATCGCATCTGTAAAATGTGACCATAATTTAATCAGTATGGAATATTTAGCTTATAATGCACAGACAAATTATCTAAATATTTTTTATATTATCAGATATTCGTAAGAAACAGAGATTATTAGCTAACCGATATGCATGTACAGAGTCTGTTCCCATTTTTTTAATCTCGTTCTTTGTCTGTTGGTTGGTTTCTTCATTGATGTCCCAACATACTACTGTGGCTTTTAACAAGGCGTAACCAATTGCTAATTCTTTTCCTATACCGCGACCCGCACCTGTTACCTATTGCAATATCTATTGATGACAAATTTTTTCTATAGCTATACATATGTTGTAAATTTTGTATATACCAGAACAATTTCACCAGCCACACTTTTTTCCTTTACTGGAGCAAATAATTTATATACACTCTCACAGATGTAATAGAGAACTTTGAAAAGAAGCACGAATATTTCTGCTAAAAGAAACATGCCATTATATAGCTTCATACTTGCCTGGACAAATAATTTTTTTAATAAAAATTATTTTTGATGGCTATAGTACTTTGAACATATTTATAGATAAAAAAACTTGTTTTATTTACATAATTGTAATTCACACTATTCCGTTATGATATATTTATTCTTGTTTCGATCTGCTTTGTTAAGATGTCGGCGACTAGCTGTTTCAGATTAGATATAAATGTAATATAGATTCTTGTTGTGCATCCGTGTTGATAATATTTAATGTTTTACTCATATAATGTTATAATATAATGTTTCACTTAATGAATCATTTTTCTTGTGTATTTTCCTTGTGTAGAAAATTGAATAAAAGAGGAAAAAGATATAGTGATATTGCAGACATTTTGACGGCAGGATGACGGATTAATCATCACGTTTTTTATACAAACGCTTGAAAAGGATTACATATAAATCCTATGTCAAAAAAGTCATGTAAAGTTGATACTTGCATTCAACTTGTAGTATCTTTTCCGCGATTTTGATTGGTTATTTCGATGCGGACTGTGCGTTACTTTGTGTTATCGAGCGGTATTATTGCAAAAGTTGCATATTCTAACGGAAAATTAGTACAGGTATTTTTTTAGTACTTTTATGTTTTATAGAAAATATTCAAAGTGTCTTCTCAGCGTTATAATATGTATTTTTGTAATTAATACTATAAATAGCGCGCATATAGCGTATGCCTAGTAAACATACGAATCAAATGACTGGTCCTGAATATGTTAATATAATTTTACAGATGGATAGTCTTCTATAACTATTTAAAACATTTTTTGAAACGTTGCAATTACAGAATGCAACAATTCTCTTTAATTCTATAATGTCAACATTAAATCGCTAAAACATGTACACTTACAAGGAAAATGACGCAAATGTCCGTCTTCGATTTTTACGGGCTTTGAATATGTAGAGTAACTCAAAATAAGAGACTTATATATAATTTTTTATCTACGTTCTCGCACGTTTAGAGATTGAAACAACCCCTACAAGCTAAAGCGGTATATTTGATTTTGAGAGAATATCATCAAAACTTTAAGAGATATAAAAACATGTTCCCAATAAAAGTTGTATGATATTTTATAAACTTTATAATCGCGTATTTGAATTTTTACAAAATATCATATTTCTTTAGGTCCACTTTTTGTTATACTCTTCAAAAATGTTAAAGGATTACTTGACTATGGTTGAACAAAAGACAATTTTCAAACGGTTGTAACTTTGTTACAAGAAATAACCAAACATCTGTAGATTAATAATCTTGTTTGTTTTTTATTTCAAATCACTGAGTATCCAGATTTTATGGGAGCCGTAAGACGATGAACGCTCGGAAACGTCGCGCTAATATTTTTATAACTATTACAATTTTTATTATTTTGACTTAAAAAAATTACTGTTTATAAATAAAATATGTATTATTATGTGTATGAAGTTTGAGATAAATCGTCCGTATAGTTTTTAAGAAAACAAAATTTATTATGATAGATTTTTTCTAGTCCTTGAAACGTTAATATTTCCTTAGGATAGGAGGAATAATTAGCCGAACTTTGTATCTTATTGTTAAAATAAAAATGTATTTTTTTAGTTGCTTATTATTTATTGCAAAATAAACGCTTGATGTAGATACTAGCAGATACTGCACATGTACTTTATGAATAATAAATTATCGATGCAGCGTAGTAAAATAAGTAAATATATTAGTTCTCGTAATGCGCGCAATCCAAGAAGCTATCTAATAATAGATTTTTTCTAGTCCTTGAAACGTTAATATTTCCTTAAGATAGGAGGAATAATTAGCCGAACTTTGTATCTTAGAATAAAAATGTATTTCCTTAGTTGCTTATTATTTATTGCAAAATAAACGCTTGATGTAGATACTAGCAGATACTGCACATGTACTTCATGAATAATAAATTATCGATGCAGCGTAGTAAAATAAGTAAATATATTAGTTCTCGTAATGCGCGCAATCCAAGGGGCTATCTAATAAGATGTCTAAGGCAACTTATAAATCCTTCAGTTTTTAGCACAAAATGACAGCTTTTCTTAATAAACATTAATATATTTTAGTTTCTAATTAATGGAAGATGAACATTAAAGAACAACAACCAAAAAATAACACACATAATGTGTTTTTTTAAATAAAAAAACTTTTGCCTGAAACATTTTCTTGTATCTTAAAAAGAACAAAAAAAAGGGATTTAAGTGATTCTTTTTATGTATTACCTTACCCTGTATAAATCATCATATGTCATGAAAAGTATGCAGTAAATAAGAGATTAGATGAAGATAATGAATCCACTATAAAAATTGATTGAAAGATGTTAACGAGTTTTGCTCTGGAAGAATGAATAGCATTTTGAATTTGTTAGTTAAAATTATAATTTTATAACTTATAATAAAATTAATTAAATTAAAGAAATTATCTATTTGGACTTTTTTAATTAACAAATTACATATTAAAAAATAGCTTTTCTAGCCCAGAACTGAGTGTTGGTTGTTCAATAAAGAAAAGTTAACAATTAGTTAATTCATACGTTTTGGCTCATTTTATTTGGCCATCTTCAGTGAACGATAATTAACAAAAAGAAAGTTACATAGAATTAATGAAAATACGTATACGTATACGCCTTTTTAAAAAACAAAAAGATGCATATACATGGAGATATGTAGAGGTAGACGACTGGGCGGACACCCTCGATGCACAAATTCTGTCATGTGTAAAGCAGTCAGATTGTCAGTGGTCTGATCGAAATCAGATTGAAAGGCTGAGTTCCTCGACAGTTAAAGACTTTTATGAGTGTCACCTTAATTGTGTATCTATCGAGTGAGAACTGAGTTAAAAAAAAAAATAAAATAAAAGGAAGGGGAAAAGATGTGGAATCATTGCGAGACGCTTCACAAGTCAAAGCACATTAGTTCGAGAGTTCAAACATACTCGACCGTTGAAGTGGATAGGTGCGTTAACTATCTAGACCGGTACACAGCGTCATGTGAAAAATTTTTTTATATATCTAAGACAACACAAGTAAGATTAGTTTTTTAAAAAAGAATTCCGACATTTCCAATTTTATATAGACTTAGCGTCAACGGCCGAATTTCGTAAACAAAATGCGATAACCTTGCGGCGTATACGTATTTTCATTAATTCTATGTAACTTTCTTTTGTTAATTATCGTTCACTAAAGATGGCCAAATAAAATGAGCCGAAACATATGAATTAACTAATTGTTAACTTTTCTTTATTGAACAACCAACACCCAGTTCTGGGCTAAAAAAGCTATTTTTTAATATGTAGTTTTATAGTAAAATAATAAAATAGATAGAATCTTGATTATATTAAGACTTTAGTATCTGATCCATGCTCGATTTTGATGAAATTTTACAGGCACGTAGTACTTATTAAATGTAGTCAAAAAGAGCACACACTGCCGATCAGATACTTGGATATTTCCTGATCGGACACAGTGCCAATCAGACACAATAAAAAACGGACACACATTGATTGCCTTTCACTTTATATCTCTGGACTGTTAACTATCCCCACTTTTCTCACTGAAACAATGTAAAAAGTTACGATCCAGCGCTGCCACATTCTGTAAAGCAAGAAAAATTTGAATTGATTTAAAATTAAGATTAAAAAAAGATAACAAATTTTATAATAAAAGAAATAAATAGAAATAAAGGGTGAAGTTCCGAAAATGCCACATCTCCGATTTGCTTCAAACTACGTTTTTTATTGTATTTTCGCGCTGATTACGAATATGACCATGCTGATTGGCGACAAGGTCATTTTCAAAGTAAAAACTCAAAAATTATCGCTTTTTTAAACATTATTTTTTAACATTATTTGTTTTTTTGTCAATGAATTGTTAGTACATTCCCTCTCAAACTTTTCAAGCTGCAAAGATCTAGCTGATAGGTCGCAAGTTTACCTAACTTGTCATTGATTTTTCTTGTGTATTGACCATTGACGCAAAACGTAATTACTTTTACAAATGTTTTTTCTTTCATTTTTGTAATACGATATATGTATTGGAGCAACAATAATAATGTAGATAATAGCTTGCAGCTATTATCGTTGTCTAGCTGTTGCTGCCAATATCTCATTAATTTCGTTGAAAATATTTATAATGACGGACATACGCATAAGTCCTTAGGAAAATTTACTATTTAAAACTTAACAAAAATAATTTAAGAAAACTTTTTAATTTACAATAAAACTTTTTAAAAGTTTTGAAGAGTAAATTTGGACACTTTAAAATAAAATTTACTCTTCAAAAACTTTAAAAAATGTTTTTAATAAATGAAAAAGTGTTCTTAATTTATTTTTTTATAGTTTTACTATATATAGTAAATTTTCCTAATATTAATATTAGTAAATACAAATGTGTTAACAGAAATAATAAACAAGGAAAAAGAATTTGCATTTAAACTGCAAGTTAATTGCAAAATCTTGCAAATTCTTGCAAATTCTTTTTCCTTGTTTACTACTTCTGTGTTACATATATGTTTAATGCTAATAAATGTGCAACGTGAGCAGACGCAGATTTACATATTTGCCGCTTGAGGCTAAAAAATAGCTGCCGCTCCTTATGTAAAAGTCTATGTCCACGATGCTGCAAATTGGTCCGAGAAATGTATAATCAAATTGCAGTTTTTATGGAAAAACGGCAATTTTATTGGCTATATGTTTTTCGATCGAGATTTCAGACTGATTTCTAGTATCATGGACCTAAAGAGCAGTGAAAATTAGAATGTTTACAAGAAATTTATAACGCGATCTGAGCATGAATGACTTCCAAACGTAACTTTTAATCTAATACAGCCTAATGTGTAAAATAAATTCCAAATGCAACATATACGAATCTGATTCTGCCGCCCCTATATATTGCCGCCCTGGATTATAGCCCATTAAGCCCATACCTAAATCCGCGCCTGAACGTGAGTAATTTGCGTTTCACATTCAATTCTCTGAGCATTGCAAT